TTTTCTAGCGATTGACCTTGACACAGGAGACTCCTTCTCATACCTTGAGAACACGGATATATGATCCTGTTGGTGGTGTTCAAGAGATGTAGAATGTACTCGACACCGAGTTTCAATGCGTCATTTAGAGTCAGGTTTCAGGACAAAAAAGATTCTGTTCCATGAACTCAAGTCGTTATCAAGGACTACAGAGCTGGAAGAAACTAAAAATGATGTAGGGATTTTGACTGACAGACATGAAGAAAGATTAAAAGGTAAGGATTTTGAGGGTTGATAATGATCTGAATAAGCTTGAATGATGACAGATTTGTAGGGGTAGTTGATATTCCTTGGTTGGCCATTTATTTAACATCAATCATTGTGGTTGTATTCTCTTAAGACGTACTGAGTAGTGGTGATTAACAATTGAGAAGTACTGTACTTCACTTCAAAGGCGTTACTGAGCTTTCCATTGTGAATCACTCGGCGTGTGGCGTCTTCATGTAGCTGTTGAATGAAGTTGATGGAAATTTGTGGCACTGAAACTGTAGTGTTTAAGCAGGTGCCAAATTACTTCTCGTTTGTCTCTATCCAAACCCTTTTCAAAATTGAAGGATTTGAGGTAGAGTTGGTTGCCATTCTATGCTGCGTTCCACGATGATGTGTAGCGTAGTGTTACAATTTGGCCGGTATACGGTTTGTTTTTCCTGAAGCCAGCCACGCAGCCAGCCAACCAGTCTGTTCCGGTGGTAATTCTGATTCCAGCGCATCCTTTAGTCTCTCCAGGATGATGCGGCATAATATTTTGGTTGGAGTGGACAGGAGTAGAGCATGCTTCCGCGCCAGTTATTGCAAAGACCTAGGTCGCCCTTCTTTCGGATTTTGACAAGGTAGCCCTTCTTCCACTCTGCAGATACCTTTCATTCCTGCCTTCCAAACCGTCTGTCGTAGTGGTGTGGTGTGAGCATGTCCGCTGTTGTCTCTGTGTCTTCTGGATGGATTCCATCTGGTTTTGCTGCTATCCTAGATTTCAGCAACTTTATGGCGTTCAGGACTTTGGATTCGGTCGGAGGGCTTGTGTTCACTGGTAATTTTGTAGCTGGGTTGCTGGTGGTATTTCTGGATGAGTTGCAGGTGGTGGTGGTATTTGATTCAGGAGTTTTCTGAAGTGGTCAGCACTTCGTCTCCTTTATTGCTCCTCTTTGGTACTTAGGTTCCCATCACTATTCCTCATTGGTTTCATCTGAGTTGATCTCTTCTCAGATAGTAGCCTGGTCATTTGATATACTGTTGTCAGGTCCCTCCTACCTGCGGCCTGTTCTGCTTCACTTGCCAATATGTCGTAGTGTCTTTTGTCGTTCCACGTACTCTTCTTTACTTCTTTGTCCAGTGTAGTGTTTTATGGGTTGTGTTCAGTTACTCTTTCCGTTGTTCATTCCTGCACTGCACTGGTTAATCTTCTGCTTCACCATCACCATATTCCTCCCCTGATCTATCAGCTTCCATGTGTCCGTCCAGATACATTCCTGGTCTTCTTTCTTCTTCCTTCTTAATGAGCTGATGTAGGTTTCCTTCCACACCTCTTTCAAAAGCTCCAGTGTTCTTCCATGCAGGTTTCTTCAGGGATGTTGCTCGACATCTCCTATTTTGTTTTGATGGCTGACGTGAACATGTCCCTTTTAGTTTCGTCCCTCAGTTTCTATTCTGGGTGTCCAACTTCAACTGTGGTCTATCACCAACATCTTTGAAGGCTTTCAATTTGATTTTGAAGGTAGGTTCCTTGCACTAGACAGTGAGTGGTTTAAACCTACATCTACTCTCCGTCTTGATCATGTGTCAAGTAGGCTGCGTCTCCACTTTCTTCACATTGAGATGAAGTCGATCTGATTTTAGTGTGTCCATCTGGTGAAGTCCATGTCGCTCTGCAGATATCCTTGTTCTTGAACACAGTGCCTCCAATTATGAAATCGTTGAATGCACATAATTATGCAAACAGTTCTCCATTCCCGTTCATTTCACCTAGAGCTCCTCGACCCATGGTTAGTTCTCTTCCTCTGCTGTCCGCTCCCAGTTTGGTATTCATGTCACCTACTAGAATTTTGACGTCGCCAAGTGAGGTCTTGTCCAGTGCTGATTGCAATTGTCTGTTGAATTCCTCCTTCTTCTCTTCATCTGTATTATTTGTAGGTGCACAGCGTAGCATTGTATGATTGTGACTTTCCTTGCTTTTGAGTTGAATCTTGCTGTCATGATCCTGGAGGAGATTGGTTCCCACTACATGAAAGCCTTCGATGCGCTTGGGGACATTATGATAGCCACTCCATAACTCAGTGTGCTCGTGGTTGTCGTCTGGGTGACAATATCGGAGTAAATTATTGACTCTCCAGTTGAGAGAGTTCACTTCCACTACATCTGTATGAATACCAATTAGCTTCTAAACGTCACGGCATTTCATCGCTCACTTTAATGCACGTGAATAATTATGGACATGAATTCAATTTTGACAATGTAGAAATCTTGGACAGAAGAAACACAAAAAATATCAGAGAATTTCTAGAAGTTTGGCATTCAGGTCAGTCAGTTATCAATAGATGTATAGACATAGACCCAATTTATCAACCAATAAGAAAAATGATAAAAGACAGAAAGGTCAGAAGACAAACATAGGAACAGTCAACAAGAAACCTATGTAGCCTTAACACACCAATTAAAGGAAACAACCAATCACAAACCACTTCATCAGAGCAAGCCACTAAATCTTTCACGGAGAGATAGTGACAGCTCACTTCATACTGAAGTTAGTGCTGATGTCGTCTAGAAAGACGATGAAAGCTACATGATTAAACAACCCAGCTCAGAGTACACAATACAATCAAGCTTAGGAAGTTAATCGCTAAGGTGAGAGAAGATAATCCTATCCAATTCATCTATCAGGGCTGTAAATAGTCTTCACCACTGCAAAGCATACTGTTCAGTGATACAATCAGCTATTATTTAGCATTCATATATAACTCTCAAATCATAGACAGCATAAAATGGCAAAAGTAATTTGAGCCTTTTGGCATCACCTACCAGGTAGTTAACACTATAGAGATCAACGTGCTAAACTAATTCGCTTCACTTCACTTCAAATGGAATATATTCATACTAACCAGTCGTGGTGCAATAAATATTCACTTTTCCGTGGTGAGAAATATGATTCAAATATATACATATTTTCATCCAGGCTGTTGATATGATTATGTTTTACCAATACCTACCAGTTATGGAAATATGTAGTCAGAACAAAGAAAGTCGACGGACAAATATCGGTGGAATAGGTAGCTCGATCGATCCTCAGAAAGTCAAAAGAAGAAAGATATATATTAGTGTATGCTTGGTAAAGTTGAATCAAAACTGGAAGTTGACATTTATAGAGAATGCAACTGGAAGTCAATAATTAAACAGTCAGCCCTCCCATCGAATTTGACACAACCAAAAGTTTTCTAACAGAATGACTTCAATATTAAGAAATGATATGTATTTAGTTCACGGTAAAAGTTACTGCCGCAACGGCTTGAGACAGCAGTAAAGATTAAATATTGCCTTCAGGTGGTCATGCAGTAAGGTTACTGCCAGGTGTCTCTATAAGTGTTTTGACAAATGACAGATCAATGGATCAATTTGTTGCCAACTAAGAAATCTGAATGCTTTTCGTATATTTGTTGTTCTCAAACATTAATTAGACCACGGACTATAAAATATTAGGAACTGCATCAGTTAAGAGCAGAGGCCAGTCATGGGGGGATGTGAGGAGGAAAGATCTACTTAAACTACCTTAAACGCCTTAGTTATTTCGAAATCACTATAACCTAGTAAATCAACAATAGAAAAGCATCGCCATCAACTAATACATGATAGAACTCAATACCTTCAGGTCTCACGGCGTACGCGTGAAACCTTAGCCGAGTCGTGTACTGCTGAGTCCCATATTAAAACGAAACAACTGTTCAGTGCCCTTAGGTTTTCAATGGTTTTCCTACTGATGTTAGTTAGTGATAAATATCATCTAGAAAACAAATCCCCATTAACCTCAAAACACATTAACATACGATACACTAGAGATGGTTATTCAAACTCAGTAACTTTTCAGGTTTGAATTAACGATTATTATCAAATTCAACTTAGTGATTATAGCAATATCTATAGGAATATGAAGGTGAGGTGCTCATCACAGACAACCTGAAAATAATATCACCAGTTGTGATATCTTATTGCCTATTGAGTGGAAGTCATTTATTAGCATTATCCAACAATATATCCCATTTAATACGACTAACTGCATAGTTTTCAATCGAAAATTATCTAATAACTGTTATCGCTATGCTTCAAACATTTACATAAGTCAGAAGTAGTATTTATCATGGACTGACATCAGTTGGTGAACCATTGAAAATCTGGGAGCACTGGACAGTTGTTTCGTCCTAGTATGGGACTCCTCAGCAGTACGCACCCACGACCCGGCTACGGATCGAACTCACGACCTTCAGGTTTCACGGCGAACGCGTTAACTATTCGTGGGCGCGTACTGCTGAAGAGTCCCATACTAGGGCGAAACAGCTGTCCAGTGCTCCCAGATTTCCAATGGTTCCCCAACTGATGTCAGTCCATGATGAATACTACATCTAAATTAACAATCCCCATTCATCTCAAAAATGCATTTACATAAGTGTTCAACCATCACAGTTTCAAAGGCGCTAATATCATGGATTGTGATCAGCTAGAGACCGATTGAAAACGTGAAAGAATTGAACTGCTGTTTTGTCTTAGTCCAGAACCTTTCAGTAGTATGCAACCATAACTTCAAGTGAGATATACACCAGGAGGGTCAATTCTCGCGATGAACACATTGCCAATAAGCCACAGAGGTGGAATCCAATAGTTTGCCTTTTCAAACTTCTATCCAATTATGTTCTAATTGTTTTTTATGCCAATTTATAGTTCCTTAGACTTTCTCTTTAGACAACTTTTAGAAAAAGAAACAACTTAGTTAAAATTATTTTACAAAATTACCTACATATTTCATATAAAAATACTACATAAGGTCGTGTAAGTAAAAAAAAAGGCATAAATCTAGTCAAATCTGAAATAGATATATGTGCTAGGCGAAAATATCATCTAAATCTTCAACTTGTCTTTCGACTTTCTCATGTGCTTCACGTGATGCGATAAATGCCTGCAGTTGAGTTTCAAGAGTACTCCATGAACGATGATGAGTTGCTCTTTATTGTATAAAAGAGAAAAAAGAAAAATATTAACCATATGATAATAAAAATGTTTAAAAATTCATCAATTATTTTAGAGTTTTAGGGATCTATCTATTGATTTTAGGTTGGCATTCACAATGAGCTGACATCAGTCAGAGAAACATTGAAAACTTGAGAGTACTGGACATCCTTACACTCTTCACAGACAGTCTAATACAAAAGTTTTAAACAACCAGTTTTGAATAAAAGACCAAGGGAATCTCAGCGTACAGGTAGACAAAACTAAGTAGTAGCTCATAATGAAGTTAGACGGTTCAAGTTCCTGCAATTCGCAACAGTACAGAAGAGCTAATCAAAAAAAGTAGACATTGGCATGGAATACGAATAAATACTTGGTGAATAATAGTTTCAAAGTTGATGAAGAGTGTATGCATCTGCACCAGTCTAATAATTTATAAGACATGAAGCTGAGAGCCTCTAGGTATTCGTTCCTTCTACTGTGAGGACCTATGTCAAACAGCCTTTATGGACTGATATCAGATCTTGATTCGGTCATCACAAGTAGTCCCTCAAACCAATCCTACTTCGGCTAACCAATGAACATCGAGGTAAGCAATGATTCGCTATGGGTACCGTAGTCAGCGAAGGTTCACAACCGTGCCGATCGAATTACTTCCTTTTCTTAGTACTCTACATTTAACTTCAGCACTGATCATACGTCGGCTTTACTACAGGGGAACAATGCTACGAAGACATCTATGATCAACAACCTGTAACCTTTTCTTGTTTTCTATTTTCAACGGTCTTGTTTTATAGTCATCCAACTGTACTGTGGCAGTTTATTCCTTCTTCGATAGGTACCAGAGATAACCTAAGATAGTGAATTTCAGAATAGTAAAGGAGATCTAGAATTCGGTACACCAAAATATCTAATCTAATATACACAAACACCACACAGTGAGAGGTGATAAAAAAACGATAGCGATAAAACTAAGAGTGGTAACGATGAGGAAAACCAGCAAAATGAGAACTAATAGAAAAGTAGATCGAAAAAAAATAAGTAGTACGATATTCACCACTACCGTCAGAATAGTGAATGCAACTACGTCATTATTGAGTTCTGAAGATAGCTCTCATTCATTTATGTTCGCTGCCACACATATGAACATACACACACACACATATCATAGCTACTGAATTTGAATTTCTGCATATAGCCGAAAGCAGTGGTCAATAAATGCTCATAGGATTGCGATTGAAACTTGACCAGTAATTCCAAATAGTTTCTAAGGTCGTTTTCATCCAGTATATGATAACAGTATATGCAACTATCAGTACAAAAAAATAATGAATGTATAAAGCGAAGTGGCCTATGTTCTCTGTCATTCCAAACAGAATTACCAGCACAAGTTTCAGCAGTTTGTGAAGGTATAAAGCTTCACATTTCAGTTTATTATTATTAAGATGACTACATACTGAACATCCCCTGGGAAAAGTCACTAATTATTTATCTCCGTCGATAAATTGTACTACCAGTTGCTATTACAGCTTAATCATGACAATGGATACAACGAAAACGGGTTGGAAAAAAGATAAAAGTTTTGCTCTATACATGGAAACACTGTTGACATTTAAAATCATAGCTTCGAAATATTTGCTGTTAACCCTAGGTACTGCTAACTACAGTACACCGCATTAATCTAGAGGACAGGTAGGATGGAACCTATTCGTAAGCCCAGGATTATGATACTACATACCTACCATGTGACATTTTATGTTAGATGAGAAAGCTGTAAGCTTATGATAAGGTAGAAAATTGGTGGTTAGAGGACTTAACCGCTATGAATGAAAGTTGATAGCATTGGCCATTACCTCAAAAGACAATAAAGACTATGAAATGAATGATGAAGTATATACGTACCATATGAAGGAATAATGACACAACCCAACATTTTAAAAAGAACATCATGAAGATATTAAATGAAGGGATAGAAAGAGGAAAGTAACACAACGATCGCAAGATTCAATCAACACGATAAAGTTAGAAAAATTCTATTCTGGATGATAGCCATTTATTTAGAAGTAGTATTCATCATGGACTGACATTAGTTGGGGGACCATCGGAAATCTGGGAGCACTGGACAGCTGTTTTGTCCTCGTATGGGACTCTTCAGCAGTACGCACCCACGACCCGGCTACGGATCGAACTCAGGACCTTCAGGTTTCACGACGAACGCGTTAACCATTCAGCCACTGGTCGGTTTCTAACCTCTGTCAATTCACAACATAGAGTGACTGTCATTATGTCACTTATGTCGTTCGACTGAGTAGTGTAGAAAAGAAAAGAAAAGAAAGGTTATGACACACGTCGTTGTACTTCTGCAACCTCTCCTTACGCACACATTGACTTCTGCTCAAATAAAATGAAACCAGTGTTCTACTGAAAAATGTCTAACGTAATACTGAAAAGTGAGCGTTCGCACGTAACTTTTGTAGCAGGTGACTGCGGTGCAAGAGCAGGAAGGCCGGGGCTAAATAGAAATACACTACGTTAGTGACTCAGAAAACCCTAGTAAGTGAGACGATACTCATGACCAAACCTTACAGCGGCGACTTGACAAACACTTAGAACAGAATTCAGACAGAAAAACAGTACAGTAGGAAGTAGTGGTTATTGATATCAAATGTAGTAAGTCAACTAGTGAACATAAATATAGAACCAGGAATTACCAGGTAACGGTTCATGTTGAAAAGATACACAGAAGAAAAACAGAGGAATCAAGAAGAAACTAGCCAATAGTAGTAGCAAGTCATGAGAAAAGGATAAGGAGGAAAGAAATAACAATGACCACTAAAACGAAGATAATATGTGGATGCATCTACTTCACTGACATCAATTTAGAGAATTGTCACCTAGAATCTCGAACCACCAGCTTCAGTTGTCAAGCTGACCCCAACTGTGAAGCCTGTGTTACCCTATACGGTTGAAACCAACAGTCAAAGACTTCACTGACTGATCCCATGTTTTATTTTGGTCGCCTCTTATCTTTTTCCAGTTTGAGGCTACTTGAGCTAACATTGCGTGAAGGGGTAGGCAGTGACCAGGCGAACCCCAGTCATCTGAATCAATGAGGGTTGACAATCTAATTAAGTATCAGACGTAGTGGCATCACAACATTGCCTGTGCAACGAAGTCAACTCTGGTCAAACACACCATGTCTTCTCATGTCCTCTATATTTAAGGCCTATATTTCACAGCAATATAGCAGAACACAGAGAGCCACACAGCGCAGTACACTGGACCCCTAACAGAAAATGGGATACCACCTCGACACCAGAAATGGCGTAACTTGGAAAAGGACAGTGGAGTCTTTTGTATCCATCTAGAGATTTCGTTGGTTACTGATTTATCCTAGCTGATCCAACAACCCAAGCATATGGAGTGGAAAGCACACCCAACTACTTCACTTCAAGCTGTTATACAAGGCAACAAAGTAAAGCAGTAAAGCAGCAACAATCTGAATTTCAGTGGTGAGAAATGCATTCCAAACATTACTATATGGCCAGTCAATTATCCGAAACGACTCTGCATGTTTCAGAGTCTTCATCTAACAAGCCTTAGTCTTATGGGTGCTGCAGGTCTTCAAAGGATCCCCCTGTGACAACGACAATCGCTAGAAAGTCAGACGATGAGAGGAAGACTTCCACAAGTAGGTCTACAACAAAATAAAGTGAGAATGGAGAATGAACATCCTCAACGGACACCGTTCTATGCACACAACTCACCGGACACCTCAAATGGCCCATGCATGTTCGAGTGCAGAAAATTCGACATGCTGATGTACTTGTCTGGAGCTCTTGAAATTAGAGACATTTTCACAACACCTCTTGGTCAACACAGGTGATTCCCCCCTTCTTACCGTCAATACATCCACCTAGTATCCATTGTCGGTAAATGTACCAGTGTAACAGAACTTCCTGGAGATCGAACAAAATGGGTGATACACCAACGAACAGGTTTGAAGCCTGCTTGATTCTCTTCGGTTTGCTGTTCCCGAGCTCCACTTTCACATCTTACAACAATACAACCTAGAATATTACACACCAAGCTTCTCAGACCAATTAATTTCCGTGGTCATGAAAAAACAATAACTTCCCTTTCTCCAACACTGGGACAATCAGTGATGTGGACCAGTAACAAGCCATCACATCTAATTCCCATACATCAGTCAACACTTCAGTTCACCTGATCAATAATATACGACCACCGTTGTCAAGTACTCCTCGTATTGTCCAGCTAACCTCACCGCTCTTCCTCCTTTCACGTTACTTGACAATGCAGCTTTCCGACAACCATTTATTCGCAGATACACACAAGGTCATACAAATGCACGGTTGCTGCCTAAATCCAAACTCCACAGGCTGTAAACATCTACTACTAACCCTCTCCAACAATAACTGTTAGTCTATCAGTTGTCTTTTGGATAGGTTGGTAGACAGTGACCATGAGTCGGTTCAGGTAAGAGTTTGTCTACATCTTAATGAAAGTAGAAACTAAAAGCAGTAGATCTGTCCCAATTCACGTCGAAAACGAAGTTATCTAGAATGCATTTAAGGAATTGGCTAAACATTCAACAAAAACGATGACCTTTTACATCTCCAGAAGAACTAACATCTCCAATCTGCTGCATAAACAATGGTAGGTTTAGCAACTGATTCTTAGAAGGTTACGATAGACTCATAGGGTTCCAGGAGCTCAATTTAAACATACATAAGTACGAATGAATTTCTTAAAATTTCGAGCTTAATACGGAACGAATGGAAATCCACTCAGCAACCTTGTGCACATTCGTGCAGTAGGCAATGAGTTACACCTATTGTGTGAAGGTTGATGATACTACCCGGCTACTTAAACCTCGGTAGGTGTAGCGGCGTTCGAACCCGTGACCCACTAACTGAAAGTCAGTAACCTAAAAGTAGACTAATAACGAAAAAAGCAGTGGTGAGCATCGAAATTTGCAGAAATGGCAAAAGTAGCCCCAATTCGTGACAATCGACAGTTGTTTAGGTCTGTTAATCAGACTAAGGCGGAAAAGGAATCAGTTAGTGAGACTATATTATAGAAGAATAGTTCTACTACTTAATCACGAAGAAAAGGACTAGAATGATAGACAGCAAACTTTGCGGAACAGCTTAACTGGCCTTCCGCTACTGGTGGGCGGCACATCATTCAGTTACAATTTCATTGGGATATTCAACAAGTTCCCAACTCTTGTTGAAGTTATGAAATGAGAAAATGTTCTAGATCTGATAATTTGGTGCATTAGTGGTATCTACAGATGACGATCAATGGCTACTGGTAAAATTGATGGATTGACAGGAGTGACTCAAAAATTACAACCTCTTTCCGGTCTCCACTGCAGAAACCAGACAAAAATAACCCAACTATGACCAAAGAGGAATTAATTTGACTAGCATAGTTGCTATTAGATTTCCCTTTGCCCTAGATATAGAAATTATCACACCATTGGTCAGAAAACCGATCTTTACATCCAAGGATTTTGACTCTATTTAAGAAAGAATAAACTCGTGATTAGAATCCTATTTGTATTTTTTTTTAATAACGATAATCATCATTTCCATTGTATCACAGATGTAGTGGATCGATATATAACGTAGAAACAGATGTGGTCCAATAGGAACTTGGTATAAAAAACGAATGTTGATAGAAAGATGGGTTACTATGTGTCTTACCTTGTTCGAATCCACCGACTAATACCAGACATATAACGAGATGATTGTTCAACAAAACGCGCATCCGCTAACAGGACAGCACCCCAATCATTTGCATGCCGTATACATCGTCCCAAGGCTTGGTTTAATGCTCTATAGGCTTGTGCATCATACCACTCAGAGCCACTGAGCACTTTCCTTTTACGCTGTGGTGGTGAACATATATCATTCGTAATTTCTATAGATGAATCAAGATTGTCAACTGGAGATCGTATATGATTATCTGAACAACTTGATTTAGCTGGCGAGGATTTATGTAGTGTATCATTGAATTCACGTTTTTGTTGAACCTTTTCCATACAAAATACAAATAAAATGAGAAGGATAACATTAAAAATTTGTTAAAATATGCATAAAAACTTGCAAAAGCTCATTCTCCTAACCACAGTCATACTCTATGTGATACACGTATAGGGTGTAGTAGATAATAAAACAGGTTCTGGGAGAGATTTGTAGCTCAGGATGAGGATGATAATTGTTTAGTGTTCTCTGAGCTTTCGGGCTTGTTCTGTGCCGTTTCATTACCATATAGAAGTGCATGTTGACGACGCCTAATAGCCTAGTGATGAAACGTCACACAACAAATCTAAGCTCGGATAACATGAAACAAGTTGTCTACAGTGATTATGCAGTATATAACAGATTAACTTTTAGGTAGGGGAACTCAAGACCCCTTGAAATGTCTTTATAGTTCTCAAGAGCCTAGTACATAGCAGTTGACAGCTCTACATTGGTTAACAAACAGTGGCCAATTCATGTACATAATCAGGTCCTCCGACGCTGTGGTGGTGAGCTGAATAACTTATTGATTAGGCATCTAACTTTAAAAACGAGTTAAGCGGATTCGGATCTCCAAGATAACGACAAGAGACCCTTTCAGTCCTCAGTTAAACAACTTGCTAATGCGTGCCAACTAGCACGACGTTCACGTGTAGAGCCTTTCTACTGATAGATCATTAACACATAATGGCAAAATACAATGTACCGCAGAGTCAAAACAGTCTAGTGGTCTACACTGTAAACTAGATCAACAGACTTCAGCCAGCATTCAGTAGGTGCGACATCACAACAGCATCTATGATCATCATGGTGCATATAGATTTCAATTAAGAGGCCATGAGAGACATGCCCGAAATTAATCTAAAATTACTGTTTAATTCTGCAATTAGATGACATTACTTATTCATGCCTCCTCTCCAACTTTCAAGATGAATTTTAATTCTATTCCAACAAAATCGTCAATCCCCTAATCAAATGCACAATGTCAAGATTTTTAAACGATACTAATGCTGACAAATTATCAGAATGTATTTAAGATGGAACTATAGATGGGAAGAATGTAGGTTTTATGCAGTTTTGAATCATTAAACCATGAGTTGTGAAAACGAGAATATACAGTAACACTACATTTGCAAGCTACATGAAATATCTCTAAAATAACTATCAACTTGATACAGAGGTACAAAGCAAGATGTGTTTATCCCATCAAAACACGATTACCTTTACTAAGTACACAGTATTACTAGATATATGGGAAAACATACTCCTACTCAAATAGCACTGACTACAGTTAAGAACCCTTCAATCGATGCAACTGTCTACTCGCTTAAGGTTAATTCCCTCTAACTTACTTCATAGTTGGATTTCTGTGCAAAAATCTACCAGTTCTTAGGTTAATTTACCAGACATAGACCGTCGAAAATTAAAAATTAAAGGGCTAGAAGGTATACACACATGAGCGACAGCTCATTCATTTCTTTTGTGCCTTTCACATTTATTTATTCCTCTTTTACTTTTGATTACTGTCTACAAATTATGCGATTTTGAGGTTACGAGTATGAAGTTTAATATCATCGGCCTGAATGGCTGTTGGCTTAGACCGATATAAAGAACTCTAAGTATGCTTGTCGGAGTCTGAAGGGAGTATATTTCGCAAACCAACTAATTCGATATGGAAACATCCCTAATTTATCTCTACTAAACAGCAGAACACATAATTACTATTATTATTATAAATTTTCTTCTTCACAAATGATGCTTTACTATGCTGTACCGACTTCACCTTTCACCAGTTTAATTGGTCATCTCGTTTTACAAAAATTAACTTTGACGAAAACGTATAGACACACAATTACGGTAAAACACTTAAGTCACCGGTGAAGACTACACACATGTTATTGCTTTTAATTTCCCGTCGTTAATTGGACCAAACTGATCGGCCTGTATTGGTATATGGGTTCCTGAGCGGATGTCTCGATATTGCCCGTAGTTTAAGTTTCAGGAGACTTCAGAGTAGTACATTTAAGTTTACCGGTTATAATGGATAATGATTAGCAGTGGAATCCAAATAGGACGAGACACATGTCCTGCACTCTACTACTAGTCATTATCCATCATTATTGCATACGAAAGTTTAAAAATCCATTCACATACAAGAAATTAAAACACACTTGTGGATTTTTGAATGCTGGATACGGGATACCGATCGCGATCACTAAGCGTGCATATGCATCCGCAAAATCCAAACCTTCACTAACTTTACCACGACAGACAGCGAATATAACTGAGCCAGTTTGATTTACTACACCGGAAGTTTTCTTTGGTGCATACGATGATGATGAATTTTCATCAGTGCCATGATTACTTTTACGGTGTGATTTACTCTTCAACCTCAACTTGTCATTTTGAACGCTTTGATTTATAAAAGAATAAAATTCTTGTAGCCAATCATCTAAGCCAACCGATGAACGTGGTTCAATCATAACATGCTTTATTGTATTTAATTGCTTCAATAATCCAGTTATCTGATATAATGATTGAAAAACAATATTTACATTTAATGATAGATAAAAGCATTGGTCATATATTTTCGCACTATAACTTTAGCTACTAATTAGTAGTATGAAATAAATCAACAGATTCCCCAACTCGGCTGGAAATCTATCTTGAATAGACTCGTTTACTGAAAAGAAAAAAGTTGAAACTAATAGCTCCACTCCCATTTCAGTAGACGAAACCAAGTTTCATCTGAAGTTTGCCTTTCAAACATCTCTGCAACAACAGCTAAAAAATCCAAATATTCCATTTAACATATTCTTCGAGTTGTAACAAACTTTGACGTATCCCAGAGTATTTCAATGTTACATTATACGAACTAATCAGGATTAAATGAGGCTCATTGCACACTAAATTAACTTCTTACGTGAAACCCACTGTTTGTCTGGGAACAAAACCAACTGGTTTCTTTTTAACAGTCCAAATGATTAGTGATTATTAATAAACCCTAAACCCACAAGTAACATAAATAAGATTGACTAGGCAATATACTAACCTTACTTATCAGAAGTACTGCAAGCAACATATGCTGACTAATGGAGTAAGAGGCTAACATAATCACCATAAATCACTTATCATATTTGAGATAGTGCCAAATCGCGGGTTGAAGGGTTATTCCTTTCGAATACTCACTCGATCACGCATACCAGCAGTGCTGATGACTCGTAATCCATAAATCTTTGTTAGGAACGTTTATTTCCACGATAAAATTTTCACTCAAGCATCGAAAACATCACCACTTTGGTCGAGGTTTACAAATCGAAAGTAGCATCAACAATATCATCGAACTGAATCTCATGAACCCGGTTATTCACACGATTAATCACATAATTCCCTATTTACCACAGTGCAGCTTTAGCAGAGTTACAGAAGGCAAGATAAAATTTTATTTCACAGATTTTTATTACGTATTACAAGTATCAACCAATGGCTATAATGTTATGCCAAGTGACGTCGAGTTTCCTCGCAATGAAATTACGAAAAACTTCACGGTTAATTAAATTGCACAATATAAACACCATGCATACAATCATCGGTAACATATGCTTTGTAAGAAGTTCAAGCGTAAGCAGCTACAGATCATAGTACAACACATGGTAGGAACATAAATACCTGGAAATAAACCCTGAGTAATTACGCAGTTGACTTGAATACTGTAAACAGATAGCTGGATTTCACATTTCTTTTTACAGCGTACCTTAAGATAATTCGGATCCAGGACAACTGCTAGATGAGATAGATTATTAAGAACATAAACCACTAATAAGTGATAGATTATCTCTCCAGATGAGATGATCACATTGCACACCATGCTGGAGTGATAGTGTCCCCCCTTAATGTAATTCGTTTACTATTAGTTGATAAGATGGGATGATAAATAACTCATGGAAAGCGTGTAAAAGCAGGAAAATATTTATTTTCGTTTCAGAAAAAAACTATTGCAATACACGCATCGGAAATAAGTTTACTAGCATACTAAAAAAACAGTGATGTGTGTACACACTTACCTCCCATCTTTGAACAAGTTTGTCCAGAAGACTATACGATGGTAGGAAACACAATACTCCACCTGGAACTAAGCGACAAGCACTGACTACAACAGAACCAATTTCGTCTTGAAATGTAAATGTATTCTGATGTTGATATGTGGCACAAAGTCGTGTCCCATTAGGTCCATGTGATAAAGTTGTCACTAATAATCGATCGCTTCCGATCACATGACCTGCTTCCAGACGTAAAGGAAAAGCTACACCTAACTCAGCTTCAAGCGTATCCAATGGTGACAATGTGCCACTCATAAGGATCACACAATGTGCTAGAGAAGCTAGCTCGGCGAATACCACAGAAGGATTTAAACACCAGAAGTTCAAAGACAGCTCTTTATTTTCTACAAAGCAAGGCTGTACATTAAGAAGGTAAAAAAAATATTAGAACTGAATGGTTTAATAACAAACTGACAGTTGTAATATAGAAGTTTCATAATATGATTCGGCATATATCTGGCATTTTGCCAACTTGTACTATTAATAACGTTGTTGAGATATCAAACTACTCATTAAACAGGAAACATTCATTCTGCACTGTATGACTATGAAATATGATTATCAATAACCATAAGAAGAGATTACACGGTTCGAGTCAACCGCAACCAATTCGATAAGATTGTAAACTTACACCGACTAAGCAAAGTAAGTGTCTTAGGCAGGCTTAGTTGGTGGTCACACCTAACATTTGGTGAGGTATGCAGCAAGCTTAGGGTTGAAATATAGTTAAGGGTTATCAGATTATGATACGAAAACAATCCATGTAGGTCAATGACTATTTTGTTCTCAGTCAAGTATACTACCCTAAACGAGTCCCAGAGATGTGGGAAAATTAATCGCAGTGGTATGCAAGCATTTATTCTCTATCGTTTACACAATCTTCGATATTTTAATACCCAACGCCTGGCACTTCCATATATCGAAGTCTTTCTTCCTGTTTCCTACACTATCTTTACATCAACTTTTGCTGATTCCTTCCCTCTAAAATAAATTGAGTTGAACTACTTTAGCAAGCAGCCCTACATCGTTACAGCCATCTGCTAAGCAACAATACCAACTCACTAAAGTTGATACTTTGATGTGAAAGTAAAAACCTTAGTACTCAATAATTATCCTCGCAGTGATCCAGAAATGTATAAAAGATTGTAAGAAAAAGATGAGTAGTGCAAATGTAGATAATATACATATATAATTAAAAATCTTCACAACGCTGATCCGCATTTATTGAACCAGTGAGTTTTTAGGTGTCTACCTACTTTGAACAGTGGATAGCGGTAAGGTAATTTATTTGTAATGGGCTTATATTTGTAGAATGAAAATCTTTATTAAAATTTCACCAAATAAGTAAATCAAACTCAATAAAATGATTTGTTCGTATTATCCCGATTTCAATCTTTTCAACATGAACAACTGATGATCAGATCAAAAGAAGGAACTAGAAAACATGATTTCAAAGTAAAGCTACACATTTGAATACATACAAACGTGATTTCTGTGATACTTTCCACTTAAAACCTCGAACACTGCTTTTTCTACAAAGATCTTGGTAGGCAGGTAGCATAAATGGCCCTCAAGCAATAATTATCAATCACTTCTTTCTACAAGAAAGTGCACATGGTTGCTGAATGCATTCAAATGTTTATGTCAACATGAACTCTGACTGATATTAATAACATAGACTTCGCCATTAAATAAAGCAGACAGAATCCTACTGTGATAACCACAGAGGAATTCGTCAAACAAATACAATATCTAGATCTTAGGTCCAACTATCAAATAACGTTGAGATTAACCTCAGGCAGAACTAAGTCATTTGGTGAGGAGGTTGTGAACCTCTGACAACTCAGTGGGTTGGGACACGTTGCATGTGACTAATCACTGTCTTCCCCTATACATAATGTTAGTCGAAGTAGTCTCGAACTGGAAAAAGATAAGAGGTGACCAAAATAAAACATGGAATCAACCAATGAAGTCTTTGACTGTTGGTTTCAACCGTATAAGGTGACACAGACTTTCCAGTTGGGGTCACCTTAACAAGTGAAGACGGTGGTTCAAGATTCTAGGTGACACTGCTCTGAATCGATGTCAATGAGGCAGATGCATCCACATATTATCTTCGTTTTAGTCGTCATACTAAATTTCATTCTTCCTTCTTTCTTCCTTATTTTCTCCTCATGACTATCTACCACTGTTTAATAATTCCTTCATTTCCGGCTCTTTTCTATGTCCTTTATACCTTGATGTATGGCAACATGGACCGTTAAGCAGCAATATCAAGTTGATCTGATTGAATAAATAACTGATACTTTCAAAGTATAGGGATAATACAACACATACTGAATAAGTAATTAAGCTTTTTAAATTTGCAGCACTGCCTATGGTAGACAATTTTCGCCTATTTATAATCTCGACGAACGACATAAATGAAGGGATACCTCAAGTTATCATGACAACTTATTGATCTACAATCTCTAGAACAGAGTACATCGACAGTGAACACTCGCTTTACGATCATACTGGGGAAAAAAGTCAATAAAGAAAGCCGAACACGAATAGGATAAGAAAAATGATCTTGATGTACAAATGAGGATGTATAAGAATCATTCATAGCAATTTATATGTCACATACTTTGGGATATTTTTTCGTGAACCACGAGTCAAGTTTTGATTCAGTAGACTCCGGATAGCCGAGATTCGACTCTTTAGTGGTCTGTTTTTCATAACTCATTGTTTCAACAAGAACAACTCGATAATCGGATAAGTGACACATATTGGCTCTAAAATTCAAAAGGAAAGAAACCTGCATTGTGAAACGGATACCCATACGATAATTATTTCATTTCTGTTTGTAACATAAGGATGGTACAACATATATACTGCAAATAGGTGAAATGCTTACGGATAACCAACAGTACCATGCTGCCTTTGCCTTGGAAAAGAGGCGCTAGAACAGATCAGGCTAACAATAGTACACTTGCTCTTACATTGCAGTCTTCTGGCGATAGAGGTGTGTTTTCTAGTCGCATGTAAATCAATCAAAGCTAGGCCAAAAACTTGCGAAAAGTGATTTACCGGCCACAAGAAAATGTCCCCGTGGATCCTGTGGTCACACATAACCATCACTAACCCAATTTCTTATCCACGTCCCTCACGAAGAAGGAACCTTCCAAGATGGGGACAGCGGGGAAGCACCAACTAGCCATACAACTCTGACAGAGTTCAAACTTCTTCTGGTCATGATCAAGCATCCAAGTCTTAAGTCAATGAGCCTCCCTCACTTCACTCAGCCAGTAGTCTTAAGTCATCTTTAATTTTATCCAGCTCTGCAGCCCTTGATAACTACTCAAGTTCACCGAGCACCACCTCTCATTTCCATACAGTGCGCACTTAATTTCACACAGATTTCTGTGTCTGCACCCTTCCTCAAGTCGATAAACAAGCCTCACTGGCCGAAAATCTTGCATCTCAGCTCACAGATGTGTCGTGTGTTTGTGAGACATGTAAACAGAATACAAGTGTGGCTATTCACTTGATCTCGTTCGGGCACTTCGGAGAATCTACAAAACTCAAGTTTGAGAGTTCAGGTGAATCAATGACTACTTCTTGTGGTCTTGTAGTTGTATGTAGAGAGGATTACATTGTAAGGCGGAAAGTGCGTTACTTGACTGGATCTCAGTTGAAAGTCACTTGTGAGCTGTTTGACTGGACGCCGTACAGAGGACTACAAAGAGTAGTGAAATTCACCGTTCCCTCTGTAAGATCTGCTCATGTATCCACTAGCTACAGTTCAAATGTAGTGAAAGATGAGTTGCACTGAAAACTACCTAGCCTCTTTAGCGAAAATCAAACGTTCAGATGTGATTGTTGTAGCAGGTGATATCAATGCACAAATGATGGGTCTAACTAGGGGGAAATGCAATTAGGTTACACCATCCAGACTGTAATGTTGTTTCATTTTTTCGTGTTTTTTTTTTAACTCTCTACTACTAGTAACTAAATTTTCCATTATTTCTTGATCTTTTATCTTTGTGTCTCCTACCTTGATTTGATGATATGAAGTCTGGCGAAATGAAGTATCAAGTAGAAATAGCGGGCTTTTTGATACTAAGTAGGTAGCTTTCTGACTACCAATACCATTGAAAACAAGAAAGATGCAGCAAGATCACCACTGGTCCTGATTTCAAGTAATTTCTTCTATTGTTCCAAACCAGTAAGTTGCATTATCTCTTGTACCCTGCAGAGACGTCCTAAGGCACCTACAGATTCTAACTCAACGCAACTATTCTTTATACTACGACGCAATGCCATACACTGCTCACCACTCTTCTTCTTCCGACCAGTACAAGGAGGGGACAGTAGACCACGTGGGAGCGGCGGAGAAAATATTCATAGATCACGTTCGAGCAGCGGAAGTCGGTGTTTTAAGATGACTTCAATAACTGAATGATGATTTTCATCTCACTGAAATTGGCACCACCGCACCTAGGAATTACTTACACGGCACTTTCGCCAAATGTGGACAATCCTACGGAGGTGATGATCGGACACGTAGAGACGTCTAACATCCTCAATCTGGACAGGTTACGTTTCACTGGTGCAGAGGAGTGGCTTCTACGATGCATTGTATACGCGACCTTTTAGATTAAAATTACCGGCACAATGACCCCCAGAGTAACTCAGATTAGTATATGCCGCACTGGTTTTCGATATACGGTTAGAAATCTCACACCACCAGCACCCACTCAGGCGCAAAAACTCGTCGACAACTTTCAACGGTTAACCTCTAAGGATGAGAATGCGGGTGCAAGCTTCTGTCAATCTCGTATACGAACTTCGCACTCCAATAATGTGAAGTACACAGTATACTTACGGAAACTGATCACCAAATGATTCTGTGCGATTTGAATAATCTGTGTGATACCACACAGTGAAACAATATTGTCCACTTATTCAAAGGTGTTTTTCATCTGGTGGCAGATCACCATCATCACCACGCATTTTAATCAGGGTTATCTGTGAAATGCCATGGACGGGAAAGCTAAAGAAGAGTGTCTAAATCGGGAAACCATGCTTGACCTTACTGTTGCTTTCGAAAAATGGGCACAGGTGGTTATATGCCCTTAGGCTATCTGAGATACTTTGCATGGACTTTAGAAATAGCTAACAAATCAGGGGAGACAGCCGTCTATAATAGACAAGTCCTAAATACATCTCAGTTAAGTGGATCGAAGATGACACGAATATCAAGAAATCTAATGATTTTCGACTAGGAACACGTGTGACTGTGTTCGAGCATTTGACAGATGGTGAACACGTGGTCAATACATCCTTTAACTAAAAGGAACTAAGCCTGCTCCTCATAGATCAGTTCTCATGCGTTTGAAGAGGCTGCTTAGCATAACAGCAGTCAGTATTATAGGTGCTACTGGCAGCGGACATATGCCCCTATCACTGCTACATACGTTATGCAGATGATTATGATGAAAAAAGTGATCACTTAGTTTCAGAATAGTGGAGTACTCCAAGTCTGTCGTAATTTTCCAAACGATCTAGTCAATTTTAACAACATAGTGCTACCTCCATCCTTAAAAAAGCCAGGAGTAATCGGGTTGTTACGTACCACTTCGTCAATATCATAGTAACAGCTGGAAGCAACTCAATAACCATCTACATAACCATGTACTAGACAACAAGCCAGGCTTATGGTGTGACAGTCGAGCGACTATTTATCTTATTAAATCTTGGTAGGTGGATGGGAGACTTGAACCAGTGACTAAATCGGTTGGAATTTGAGTAGCTAGTTAAGGAAACGAAGCACTACAGCAACAAACATTCATGAATATTTCTCAGTCCTATCAAACTTCAGTTCTTCCAGTGGTGCGTGAAATATTTATTTCAGGAAAAAAAGTTTACAAATGTGCTCACCTGAACATATAATTTAGCACAGTGAATAAGGCATTTAAGAAGTGGAGTGTACGATGGTTTGGTTTCGGCTGAAACTGCTCATTATTAGCTTTACTTCGATTCCTATTTCCATACCGATCATCATCCTTTTCACCATCCACAACAGAGTCAGATAGTTTTCGAAAAGCATTCTGGAGAAAAAAAATATGCCATACACTTAGAAACTAATTACTTTCCAAAAAGGTAGAATATGAGAAATGAGAATAAGCAATCAAAGCATAGAAACTTCATTATAAAACACATTTGAAACGGCCTACAATACTAAGCGATATACAGAGGTAAGACCACGGTATGGGCAACAGGATCCGAACCCAAGACATAAATTTGATGGTCGAAAATTCAAACCAATATGTTCTGATTTCACAAGTTTGTGCCTAGGCTGATTCTTTATTCCGAAGACTACTCAAAACTGTTCAACTATTTGTAGACAGTTTAAACCGAAAATTGATTTTATCACCTGAAAAAGTGACTGCGAATGAACAGTAGTTTCAATCTAAATTGAAAATCTTTCTTAGTGCACAAATCCAAATGGTCTATATACTTGTTTGGCTACATACACTCGAATCATTAGGTCGGAATTCATTGGTTGAAAATGTATAACGTAAAATAATTCGGGATATCGTATTAGGGACAGACTGATACGACCATAGTTATATAATCGATCTTACCCTTACTATAGAGGTAAGCTTGCTGAACTTCGTACAGAAATAGAGATAAAAACAAGAAAATGGAGGAACACATTAGAATTAACGGTAGAAAAGTATATTAGATACTGTGTAAGAACAAAATTTTTGAAAAACGCATAACCATCCAGAATACTACGATGCATTTTAAGCCTATCCCTCTGGTCCTTCTTTAGTTGATGTCACTTCAAAACTATAGCAACTAGTTCAACTTCATCTAAAAACTGAGATGCCTCAAAAACACCCTCAGCAGCGTTCTAATGATGACGACTATCGAAGATCTGAAGTTTCTTCACAGTATCTACCTTTTAGAACTCGCCTTATTTCAGTCAGTAAGATAATATCAGCATGGGACCTGGCATTTCTCAGTAACGGCTGAAGTTGTCAAACCACAAATCAGTACATCAACAGATATAAGGACAACCCAGATAACAGACAAAAAATATAAATAATCTGATTAAAGGTTATAGAAAGCCATACGACGAAAGGAGAGGATAAAGTCAGTAAAGAAATGTGATACAATGGTTGACAAGAAAATAAGATGCGGATGCATCTGAGTCAATGAAACAAATTCCAAGCCATATTATCTAATCAATCGTTGGTTTCGGTTTACACGAGGACGTGAGCCTCGAAGTCGGTATTTCCTTATACAAACAAGAGACCTTAGGTATTGATGCCACTTTTTATTCTGACCATAAATAATTTCTTTCAACCTACTACTTTTCAAGTCTAGTTCAGTTAACGCAATGGATCGGCGTAGGCGGTGATTTTACGTATGTACTAACCTCCTCAGTCGATGAAGATTTATAACTTCATCAAGTGACTTACCTCTTTTGTACGAGATAGTAATTCTAAACCCTATTTTCTTCATGTAGTTGTTCCATGATAAGCATATGATGCTACGAAGGTAACAGTGGTCAAATAACTTAGGCGTTGTCTCTTTACTGGCCGTATTTCACTACTGTGGAGTAGGACAGAGTGAAATGCTGAGTAGTGCACAGCCTTTCTGATAAAGTAATAACCGTCTGAAAATAAGGTTTGGTGAAAAAAATAAGAGGAGAAAGGAAACTAACACTCTGCTCTCTTATTTGGTCCGGTCCAAGGCCTACAGTAGCCATCAGCCCACAGATTTCACGCCCAGTCCAGACTTGTGTCGGTTGAGCTGTTTCGCCAACTCTAACAAGACGTGATAGCGTCAGCTGCATAACACGCAATAATCCGTCAATCTGTTAAAATGGAAAAGTAATAAACATGATTTATATAGGCTGAATGAATACACATCTGTAAGAACTCAGTGACATTAAGATACGGTGGTGGGCACACTTCAAAAATGATCGACAGAATTCGGTCAGTACTTAAGAATAGGTAACATGAGATTGGTTGCTCTCCAGTGATCAATCAACGTATGTAATCCAGTCCTACAGAAGGTGAGTCGCGGCCCGAACAGCTGTGATAACGTCACTGACTGCAATACTGAGTGACACGGATCCCGATCTCACAGGGGACATCAATTCCCTTGAGGATGCAGATACGCCCTTCTGACGAGTGCCAACAAGCACGAAATCTAGGTCCAACAGGGCTTCTTGCTGATATTCTCTAACCAACTAACACCCATTAAAGAGCACCGCGACGGTGAGACTCCTAGCTTGATGTTCACATTGCAAAATGATCGACAGAATTCGGTCAGCACTCACGACTAGACAACAAGAGATTGGTTGCTCTCCAGTGTATAAAATACAGTACTTTTGAATCGTTAATCACCACTACTCAGTACGTCTTAAGAGAATACAACCACAATGATTGATGTTAAATAAATGGCCAACCAAGGAATATCAACTACCCCTACAAATCTGTCATCATTCAAGCTTATTCAGATCATTATCAACCCTCAAAATCCTTACCTTTTAATCTTTCTTCATGTCTGTCAGTCAAAATCCTTACATCATTTTTAGTTTCTTCCAGCTCTGTAGTCCTTGATAACGACTTGAGTTCATGGAACAGAATCTTTTTTGTCCTGAAACCTGACTCTAAATTACGCATTGAAACTCAAAGTGTCGAGTACATTCTACATCTCTTGAACACCACCAACAGGATCATATATCCGTGTTCTCAAGGTATGAGAAGAAGTCTCCTGTGTCAAGGTCAATCTCTAGAAAATCAGACAATGATTGGGAGACCCCGACAAGTATGTCTATAACAAAATTAAATGGGAAGTGAGAGTACACATCCTCAACGGACACCACTCCGTGCACACAACCCATTTGATAATTCACCACAGTCTCTGACATATGTACCTTTGATACAGTGATGTACTTATCTGGCACCCCTTTCAGCGAGACACACTGCCACAACACTTCTCGGTCAACAGAGTCGACTCCCGCCTTCAAGTCAGTCCATGCAGCTTGTGTCCTTTATTGGTAAGTGTACCTATATCACAGAACCTGGTGGAGATTGAACATCTGGTTGACACATGCATAAAGAGGTCTGAAACCTGCCTGTCTCTCTTGGGTTTGCTGTTGCCGAGCTCTACTTTGACGTCTTATAACTGTAGAAACTATCACCTTTGACACTACGTTCATCTTTCAGTGCCTGATACCCAAAGAATGGAAGGTCACTCAAGTGTCGATCCTGAATATCGATTACTGTGGAGGGAGTGACATAACCGTATACTGAAGTCAGTTAATATCCACTGCCTTCTGCTAAAATTCTGTTTTTAAGCAGTTGTAATAGCTCACTGAAGAATAGGTTGATATATTTCCACTTGAAAAAAGGGACAATGCAGTATTGAAATGGGTTTTTTCATGCATTATCTTACATGTTCCACTGATAAAAAAACTTTGTTGCTTTGAGAGGATAATCATCGACAAGGTTAGTCAAGTTAAATGTTTGTGTGTTCAACAATCTCGACTAAGATTATATGAACCAAAAAACTCTAATGGAGGAGAAATTACACTAGGCTAAGACAGTGTGAAAATGAGCATCTGCTCGAAAAAAACTAGCATGAAATACCCAGACATAAACAAAAATATAGTTTACATCTCTGTGTGTCTTACCTGTAGGAATCAACAAAGCTGTTGGGTTGACGGTGACTTTTAGACGGATGTTGAAAAGTTTGTCTAGAAAATATTCAAATTCATAACCTAAATTGTAAGTTGTCGCCTTCGTCGAAAACGAAAAACTGTCTTTAATATAAAATAGGAATGATTTGACTTTCTTGTACTATACCACATTTTGTCACTGATATCTTTTGATATTAGCAACAATAGTTTGAGGAATGAGTTGAAGAGTAATAACAAGAATATGTCACAAAAGTTAAATTACGCAACAAAAAATCTAGCCTTTAAAAAATATTCAATTTTAAGAGAAGGGGAAAACCTACCATTCTGATTAAAGTAGAACACGCTTCAGGTTCAAAATTCAACTTTCCTTAACAAATGAAAATGGTAAATAATTCTTCGTCAGTACTCAGTAATGCAATTTGTCCACAAAATTGATTCAAACATTTCTATTATCCCAATCAGACATTAATTTACTGCAGAAAACGCTACACACCTATAATTACTGCATATGCAAAAATAGCCATAATGAAAAAATAGGAAATACCATTAAATTCATAATTTTTGATGGGACTGAGACAGATGTGGTTCCACAAACCGGTATTACTGATAATTAGTGACGACTGATGGTACTGCGAAAACTTGAGTCGTGACAGGTTTGAAACCAGCGACCTAGATATTATCTGTTCGGGGTTCTACGAACTAAGTCACAAGAACCAGCTACTGATCAGGTCTAAACTATCATCACCAAGGGTCTGTGCAGAGGTCATGTGACTGTGTAGTGCGTAGTTCTCTTTTCATTGTAATCTCACCCCTTCCGTTTAGTTAGGACTTTTCATCCCAATCCGAACCAAGATGAATTAAAGAAGGAGGAAAACCTCGATGAATGAAGCAAAACTAACACCTGATCAGTAACTGACACTCAAAATTCAGACGGTGAAGCGCTGCGTCGGTAATGAGAATGTAGTTGGTTTTCATCCTGCCTTTGATCATCAATTCGTCTCAGAAAAGCATAATCATTAAACCTTTGAACCTGTGTATCTTGGGAAACGCTGGATTCAAAATTACCACCGGAACAGACTGGTTGGCTAACTGGCTGGCTGGCTTCAGGAAAAACAAACCGTACACCGGCCAAATTGTAACACTACGTCACACATCATCGTAGAACACAGCATAGAATGACAATCAACTCTCTACCTCAAATCCTTCAATTTTGAAAAGGCCTTGGATAGAGACAAAGGACAAGTAATTTGGCACCTGCTTAAACACTATGGTTTCAGTGACACAAACTTCCATCAACTTCATTCAACAGCTACATCAAGACGCCACATGCTGAGTGATTCACAATGGAAAGCTCAGTAACGCCTCTGAAGTGAAGTCGGGAGTAAGACAAGGCTGCCTACAATCACCGGTCATCTTCGTGATTGTCGTCCACGGTGTCTGTCATCCAACAAAGTGTGAGGAGCGAGAAGATGGGAATACGCTGGTTGACCAGTGAAAAGAACTCAGGAGAAGATTTGGATGGATTTCACCGCCGATGATGATTCATGTCTAATGTGTTGTCGCACAAACTCGAAGACCTACAGGCGAAAACTAACAAGTTGACAGAAGAGGCGGCGAAGGAAGACGGGACTTCAGGTGAACGTAGAGAGAACAGAGGTGATAGAGATACCCAACCAACAACAACATCGACAACAAGCATCAATCACCATCAACGGGAGAAACCTAAGGGAAGTTGTCTCCTTCACCTACCAATCTGGGCAGTCTCGTTTAGACTACAGGCGGTGGCACACATGGGGACATCAAATCCATGATCGGAAAGACAGCAAGACACACCTTCCTTCATTGACCTGAAACCAGTGTGGAGATCTACTGCACTGCACTGCACTCAGCATAAAGCACGAGTAATATCCGGATTCTCAACACTAATTCAGTCGAGTCAGTGCTTCTTTGTGGTTCAGAAACTTGGTGTGTGACGAAAAGCATTTCCAACAAACTACAGATATTCATCAACAGCTGCCGCCCACGCTCTCTCGATGCTGAAGATCAGATGGATGGGCAGAAAGAATAAGCAAGCAACAAAGAACTCTGGCTGGGTGGCAACGAACCAACCAAGAACCCATCGCCCAACAAATATGCAGGAGACGAAAGTGGAGATGGATTGGGCATACATTGAGAAGGCCACTAGGGAACACGATGAGCCAGACTAGTCAGTCCCTCGAGTGGAATTCAAACGGGAAACGACGAGTTGGGCGTCTTAGCGAAGGTGACACGGAGGAGATGGTGTGAGTAAGAAATGAAGGGTTGTGGGCAGTTGTGGAGCCAGGTTGAAAAGATTGGAGAGAAGAGAGTGAAGTGGAGACGTGCTACTGAAGCGGTATGTCCCACTAGGAACCCAAAGAACAAATAATAGTAATAATAATGACCCAAATATCGGATTTTGTTATTGTCCGGCTGTGAGTATATACACAGCCGAAGAAATTAAAGGACCCACAGATGTGGACTAGGATCACTAAATGCTGCAGGCGAACGCAAAGTGTGTTGGTGGTGACGATTCAAAAAAACTCCGAAGTTGTACACATACTCCGTTAATAATAATTAAAAAAGAAGTAAACTCAAGAATTCTTTCAATCTACGTTAGTACATTACGCTATCGCATCACCTACTTCACTTTCTACTTTTAGACAAGGCAGCAAAGAAAACCAGTCAAGTAACAACAATCTGAATTTCAGTGGTGCAAAACGGATTCCAAACATCATTAAGTGGCCAGCCGGTTATCCGAAAAGATTGCATGTTTCAGCGTCTTCTCCTAACAAGTTTTAGTCTTCTGCGTGCTGCAGATTTTTCTAGACTTACTCTGTGACAATCGCTAGAGAGTCAGATGATGAGAGGAAAACCTCCACAAATAGGTCTACAGTAATATTAGGTAAGAATGGAGAACGCACATCTTCAATGGACATTACTATATCACCTAGCTCAGTGGTAACACAATATTCCTTGACTGACAATACCTATTACAACTCAACGATGAACTATATGATAACTTATGTTCATATAATCAGTAATTTTAGACTAATTAAATGTCTGATTGAAGATCTGGTATACACGCAGGTAGTTAGTCATGTGCTTCAACATCTAATTAAATGAACAAGATTCTTGTCTTAATATATTCTACATTACATATACTTACATCTCGACAGTAGGCAGTATAGATTCAGTCAGGACTCTGTAACTAATTTGTAGTGCTTTAGTAGAAGCAGCTTAAAAGAATACAATAAGTAGTGCATATAACTAATTTATTATGAATATGTTTGTAATTAATATTTACAAACAGTGATGTTATTTAGTTTTGGTAATATTTCGAGCAAAACTAAATAATATCATAGTGTGTAAACATTCATTACGAACATATGTCTAATAAACTGATTCTGTCTACAATGCAGAAATTTTCCATGGATCTAATAACAACTGACTGATGAGGATTCAGGCAAAAAGAATACATACTAGCGCGAAGGAATATCACAGGAAAGAACAATGCAGACCGAGGCAGAATAAGAGATCGTTTGCAAACGTAAACCATTTTGTAAGTTCCAGTAATCTCACCATTATTAGCTGCTTTTCTAAATAAAGAATACCTAATGCTCCATTGAACTTTTTTTCTCATAACTAGTATATAATAATAACAATAATAGTAACAATAAATATCACATCTTTAGGATCATTACTCAGTCTTAACAATATTTTCTCACTTAATCCTATTTCGGATCATATCCGATTGTAAATAAGAGTAAAGAACACGTGCAGCGCATAGTAATAAAAGGAAAAGTAACACTTACTTAGTCCTTCCAAGTCTTCTTTCGTATTGTTTAACTGATGTTCAGTAATTGTATATGAAGCAGCTTCACGCGAAGCATCCTCAATATTATGGGCTTCATCCAAAATAATAACATGGTTAGACACTTCAAGTGATGTCTTTAAAAAACAATAAGGTAAACTAATTATAACAAAGGAACAAACCATACAGCAGAACGATTCAGTGGATCAAGAAGATAGTCGTATGGACAAAATATAATATCTGCTGATTTGGCTAGTGAACGTGAGCAGAAATATGGACATGATGGTACCTAGGAAGAATTGGTTTATCAATAGGCGAAAAAATAAAGAATTATAGTCTACTGGTGTAAGTGCTTGTACTAAATCTTCAATATCCCATGGTCCCGAACGGTCCAGTTTATTAATAGCATGTGACAGATTCGACCTTTTCTGTGGTATATCGTAAGTACATACACCTGACTATAAGTTTATAAAATATTGGAGTTTTCCAAACCAGTAACAAATTATGACAAGCATCTGTGACATTTGGTGTAGAGATTATTTCTGGATTTATGCATGTATGTTTTCGACTACTCAAAATCGACATTCTATGGGTAGAAAAAGAGTTAACTGCGATCAAATAATTATAAAACATTACTTTACATCTTTATACTTAGTTTTCTTTAATTCTCTAACAACTTGAGATATTTGCTTATGAGTTCTAGTGCAATAGTAAATCTTCGGACTAATTTCATGGAGAAACGAAGTTGGATGCATGGTGTACAAAATTACCTTTCAGTGGCAGACACTTTATCTTCTAATGGTGAGTTATTTTCTATATCATCAAAATCTGAAAACAAAGAGAAGTACATAACAATAATAAAACATACTTATGAATTAATTGACTTCCAAAGAGTGGATAGTCTACAAATGAAATAAAAGAAACGACTAATCTGCAGCACAAACGAGATTACTTGTCTACTAAAAGACTAGTATGTAGTACAACAGCATGCTTTATTCCGTCCCAAAAAGCATATCTTGAAAGAAAAATATCAATCTTAAGCATGGTGAAAACGTTAAAAAACGCAATTTAAAGATTAATCATGGTTTTATTCAGATGTGAATCAACTGAAATTATGAACATGTATTGACTGAAACATGTGCACTAAGCTATGAAATCCCAGATATTGTAGAAGTCTATAATGCTATCTGCAACAGAACTTAGTGTCGATTTCTTAGAGCAATGTTCAAAAATTACAGAAAATAGAGTATGCATTTACTTTACTTTCTACCATTTTTCGAACAAACTATACACCTGTTTATTTCCACCAAATTATATCTTTTTGTATTCTCTTCTAACACCTCAGATGTCGTGCTGTTCGACTAGGCATTAAAAACTTTAGACATAAACCATCTTAATTCATTCTCAAACATGAACCCCTTGATATCTTAAAAAGCAGGATTTTGTTTTAGACAAACTATGGAACTCTCACCAGTAACCAGTTCCTATAGTCTCAAGACATTTTTTTGAAATTCAAAATAAGTGGAATTTGAACAGAACAAACCTAATAAGTATTCAATCTAGATCAGATGTATAATCAAACTAGAAATGTAAAAATATGCAGCGCTACACTGTACACAAAACCCTGCTTCACTAAATATTTTCCATTATCATCATCATCATTTTTAAGTACAGTGTATGCCCTTCTTCATTTTCAAAAAACTCAACGCTTAAAGATTTTATCTTTCAAGGAAGTAGTGTATTAATTACCCACTGGTATTATTCTCTCTAACCTCGCCTGGTTAACTAGTTTACTAGTTACTAGCCGGTCCTAAGCCCGGGTAAAGAGGGAAGGTTGGGCATAGGGCTAGCAACCCTACCCCGTAAAACAAATCTAACCGCTAAAGAAACTTCAAAGCACAAACAAAATATAAAAAATGAAAACAAACTTATTCTTCTCTGGAATCGGAGAGGCGAAATGACGCCAGTTGGTGAAAGCCTTCGGGAAGCCAATTGGCCGATGCGTCTTCCTTCTCTCGATGAAAGCGAAAGTAAACGTGGGGACATGGAATGTCCGCACGATGTTTGAACCCAGTAAGGCAGCCCAGATTGCAAAGGAGATGAGAAGGTATAACATCGAAGTGCTTGGGATTTGCGAAAGCAGATGGAATGGGAGTGGACTCTCCAAACTGTCAACTGGAGAATCAATAATCTACTCCGGTCACCCAGACACCAACCACGAGCACACTGAGGGAGTGGCTATCATGATGTCCTCAAGAGCATCGAAGGCTCTCATGCAGTGGGAACCAATCTCCTCCAGGATCATGACAGCAAGATTCAACTCAAAAGGAAGAAAGGTCACAATCATACAATGTTATGCACCTACAAATAATGCAGAGCAAGAGAAAAAGGAGGATTTCTACAGACAACTTCAATCAACACTGGACAAGACGTCAGTTGGCGATATCAAAATTGTAATGGGCGACATGAATGCCAAACTGGGAGGGGACAACACGGGAAGAGAACTAACCATGGGTCGAGAGGCGCTAGGTGAAATGAATGAGAATGGAGAATTGTTTGCAGAATTCTGTGCATTCAACGATTTGGTGATTGGAGGCAGTGTGTTCAGGCACAAAGATATCCACAAAGCGACATGGATTTCACCAGATGGACACACTAAAAATCAAATCGACTTTATCTCAATCTCAAGAAAATGGAGACGCAGTCTACTTAACACAAGGTCAAGAAGAGGAGCAGATGTAGGTTCAGACCACTCACTGTCTAGTGCAAGGAACCTTCCAAATCAAGTTAAAAGCCTTCAAGGAAGCTGGTGATAGACCTCAACTCAAGTACAACACTCGGAAACTGAAGGATGAAACTACAAAGGAGATCTTCAAGGCAGCCATCAAGACAAAATGGGAGACATCGAGCAACATCCCTGAAGAAACCTGTGTGGAAGAACACTGGAAGTCTTTGAAAGCTATGTGGAAAGAAACCTGCACAATAGTATTAGGAAGGAAGGAGAAAGAAGACAAGGAATGGATCTCGACGGATACCTGGAAGCTGATAGAGGAGAGGAGGATGGTGAAGCAGAAGATAAACCAGTGCAAGGATGCTCAACGACAAGAGGAACTGAGCACAATGTATAAAACACTGGACAAAGAAGTGAAGAAGAGTGCACGCAAAGACAAAAGACACTTCTACGAAACACTGGCAAGTGAAGCAGAACAGGCTGCAGGCAAGAGAGACCTGACGACATTGTATCAAATAACCAGGTTGCTATCAGGGAAGAGACCAACACAGATGAAACCAATAAAAGATGAAGAAGGAAATTTAATTACGAAAGAAGAGAAACAGAGGAAACGATGGGCCGACCACTTCAAGAAGCTCTTGAATCGACCACCACCTGCACTTCGTCCAGAAATACCACCTGCAGCCGCTGAACTACAAGTGAACATTAATCCCCCAACGAAAATGGAAGTCCTGAACGCCATAAAGCTACTGAAATGCGGGAAAGCAGCAGGACCAGATGGAATACCGCCAGAAGCACTGAGAACAGATGCAGAGACAACAGCGGACATGCTCACACCACACCCTATTGCAGAAGGTGTGGAAGGAAGAGAAGGTACCTGACGATTGGAAGAAGGGTTACCTTGTCAAACTGCCGAAGAAGGGAGACCTCAGTGCTTGCAAGAACTGGCGCGGAATCACTCTCCTGTCCACCCCAAGTAAAATATTAAGCCGCATCATCCTAGAGAGGCTTAAAGACTCACTGGATTCAAAACTGCGACCGGAACAGGCAGGCTTCAGGAAGTACAAATCATGTGCAGACCAAATTGCAACGCTTCGTATCATCATAGAACAGAGCATAGAATGGCAATCACCTCTCCACCTCAACTTCATCGACTTTGAGAAGGCCTTTGACAGCGTCGACCGAGAAGTAATTTGGAAACTGCTTCAATACTACGGAGTACCGCAAACCTTTATCCGCCTCGTCCAACAACTATATGAAGATGCCACATGCCAAGTAATCCACAATGGGAAGCTCAGTGATGCCTTTGAAGTGAAGACAGGAGTGAAACAAGGTTGCCTACTATCTCCCATGATATTCCTTATTGTGGTGGACTGGATCATGCAGCAAACAGTAGGCAGCGAGAAGAGGGGGATACACTGGACGACGGAAAAGAACCTAGAAGACTTGGATTTCGCCGATGACCTATGCCTAATGTCACACAAACTTGAAGATCTGCAGGCAAAAACTAACAAGTTGATAGAAGAGGCAGCTAAGACGGGACTTCAGGTGAATATAGAGAAGACAGAAGTGATGAAGATACCGCACCACCACCATCAACAACAACAACAAACTCCAATCACCGTCAACGGGAGAAACTTGAAGGAAGTAACCTCCTTCACTTATCTAGGAAGCACTGTTTCAACTACAGGCGGGACGGACGAGGACGTCAAAGTCAGAATCGGAAAAGCAAGACAGGCGTTCATTAGCCTGAAACCAGTGTGGAGATCTTCTGCACTCAGCATGCGGAACAAGATACGGATTTTCAACACCAACGTCAAGTCAGTGCTCTTGTATGGCTCAGAGACTTGGCGCGTCACGAAAGGTATTTCCAATAAACTACAGACATTCATCAACAACTGCTTACGCTCGCTGCTGAAGATCAGATGGCCAGAAAAAATAAGCAACAAGGAACTCTGGGAACGAACCAACCAAGAACCTATCACGCAGCAAATATGCAGGAGGAAGTGGAGATGGATTGGCCATGCACTGAGAAGGCCGACGGAGGACATCACGCGTCAGGCCCGCGAGTGGAATCCCCATGGGAAGCGACGAGTTGGACGTCCGAGGGTGACATGGAGGAGGTCGTGCGAGCAGGAAATGAGAGCTTCTGGGCTGTCGTGGGACCAGGTTGAAAAGATCTCGGAGAACAGAGGTCACTGGAGGCGTGCTACTGAAGCCCTATGTTCCACTAGGAACCCAAGGGACTAATAATAAAAAATAATAATAATAATAATTATTCTCTCTGGTGGAACTGATGAATCAAGCTAGTGTTTCTAGTTTAGTTATTCATCAGCCACCAGAAATTTAGTGTTTGGTCAGTTATGTAAAAAAAAACTAGTGCCCGCATCTCACCAATTACCAGCTAAAAAACAAGCAGTGAAATCTAAGTTCAGAAAATCAGTAACCTAAAAATATACACTTATTCTCAGTTGAAATATCGAAAATGTACTTTTCCACTATAGCTGAGGGAATTTCAGTAAAACAGATGAGCAGAAATCGCTTCGCACTTCTAAAAAGATGAATGCTCAACTTACGTAACGTCACTGCAAAGCCGAAAGTAAAGTAGTGCTTTAGGTACATTGAGGAATTCATTCCACTAATGGCATTCAAACTGAGACGGTTCTCTTGATAGTAATAAATCACATTGATGAGCATATCTTAGGGTGATACTAAGAAAATTTGCCATTGGACTGTCCACTTTCTATCGTTTAAACAGCTTTACGAGTAATAACTGCTACTTTGGTACGGAGTTCGTGTTTGAACGAAACATGGATGAACATCGTTATCGTACATACATTTACTTCTAACAAAGCAATCAAAAACCCAATGAGGGGTTCCTGAACATCGTTAAAAACAATATCTACTGTAATTTCCTTTCACTGCTGCATTAAATATTCGAAATAAAAAACCACTTCTCAACTAGTGAGTTTAAGGGCGTTAGATAGTTGCTGACCACAGACGGAAACTGACTGTTTCATTGAAGATGATAGGGAAAAAGCAAAATCTATGACTGGTTATTTTACTGAGGTCTTTACAAAGGAACCTTCTATGGACATCAATACAACAGTAGGAACACTGACGTCCAACAGAAAAAATCTGTGGACATCGACTGCAATGACGTACTCAAGGCATTGAATACTCTCGGTGTAGAAAAATCAACAAGACAAAATGAGCCGTACCCAAGGCTGGTAGAAGAGCTTGCACTCTACGTAGCCGACCCATTGACTATTATATTTAGTTCCTCAGTGTTACAGACTACCATATTATACCTAGCTATTTCTATGTTCTACTAACCTAACCGCCGACTACCCTGACCTATGTATTCCATCTCATAGACATTGGATAGAAATCAGTAGACTGTTCGGGAAACTGGAAAATCTCAGAACTACTAGCAGTAACACTTGCATCGACCAAAGAGTTCCTTGTTGGTAAGAGACAAAAAGTAAGAATCAACTATGAAATCTCCTCTTGGAAGTCGGTAGAGAGTGGAGTGCCGCAAGACACAGTTCTGGGTTCCTTGCTATTTCACCTCTACGGAAATGAGACGCCGAATATCACGAAATCCCCTATGGTTATCTACGCTGATGATGTGAAATCTGGCGGGAAGTTAGGGATGACGAGGATATATGTGCACTCCAGACAGACCTAAAGAGCTTGTTTGCCTGATTAGATGAATGATTGAAGCTTATTAACGCAGTAAATGTGTGCGCATCCTCATGAAGCACACAGATGGTAACGCTACCATCAGTACTGACCCACAATAGCCTAGGAATCGCAGTGAGTTGTGATCTGAAGACCACGGCACACTCGACTGGTCGCAGATCGGAGTCTAAGGACACTACGCATTACGCAGAACGTTATGATAATTTGGTTGGTTGTGTCTAGCAGAAGAATCGAGCCATCCGCATGGGAGCCCATATGCTAATATAGGTCGAACAATTCGATCCAACAAAAACAAAGGAGATTAACAAGTATGTCAATAAATAGTAGGTACGCAGAACGTCTATAAGAATAAATGGTGATATGCTCACCATCTTATACACATCTCTATTCAAGTCTAAACTAGAAAACTATACACAGGTGGCGAATCCTTGTCAGAAAGGTGACTCAGACCTTCTGGAAAGAGTTCGAAGAGCAGCCAAACAAAACGAAATGTATGGATCTGAAGGACGACAAATTCCCAAGTCTTAGCAAAACCGTGCTGACATCATGGGTACAAATTCTATTAAGCACAATAATATCAACATGGTCAATTATTTGTCAATGACACTTTATTATACACATTACTGTAGCGACAAGGTATATACAACTTGCAGAGTTAAGACGAAAAAGGAAACAAAGAATTCATTGCTTCATAAATGCCAAATAAACAGCGAAATGTGTATGAGTTATGAACGTATCTCAAAGATGTACAAAACTAATACACGAGTGCTCAACATGTTTTCCACACTTACCTGCGGCCTTATCATCAGTTCTAGAACTGAGATTAAGAGCTATTTTGTTGAGTAAAGTTAAAACATGCATGATTCCCAAATCCTTACCAGTTTTCTGCAGGTCGTCTAAAGAATGTGTATGTAAAACAACGGAAAACTTGCTTACGCTTTTTCTTCCTCAACCAACCTAAGGAGGCACACAAGAGAGAAAGAGTCTTTCCAGTTCCTGTAGGTGACTCCAAAAGGCAATTCTGTTTGTTTTCCAGCGATTCAATAACCTAAAGCTGAACAGTATGCTATATTCTCACCCTTGTCATCATCGACAATTGGCAACCATATGGTTTGCATGGAAAACATACTGGAATCTCTCTGATGGTTACTTCATAGCCGTCCACTTTGGTGTCCATCAACAAAGGTCAAATTAGGCCTTCCGATATCTTGCATCAGTCATTTATTTTTTCTTATCACTCACTATTAGGTTTTGAGAAACGTCATACAACAGTAGTGTTCCAGCTTTTTATTGAATCCGATGTGATAAGCCCAAGCACTCACGTGCCAAATCAATTAGATATCAGGAAAATTTATATTGGCCGCCGTCGCGTGACAATACATCTGTACTGTCATTGGTCTGTTAGGGAGTATTTAACTGACATCCAACTATCCGCCTGGCGAAGCGTCTGAACAAGGTCGGGACCATTCGTAGGTTCTGCAGCCTATTCATTTCTTTTTTCTCTTCCTTTAAAGTTGCTGATTTATCAAATTACCCAGTTTGTTCTCAATTTCTTTTCTTTTCAACAAGTGTAGAAAAATAATCAACTCGTCATACAACGTAGAATAGCGAAGTAATTGTTTTCCGTTAAAATGCTGGTTTCATTGCCCTTCTCATTGTTATTAATGGTCACAAATGTCAGTTTAAACTTCTTTAGGCCATTTTCCACGACGGTTATATGGTCCGATATCCAATATCCAATACTGATAGTGCGAGCGTAGAAAACTGGTAGTTTTTGATCTCTCGCGTCTAGATCGCGTGCAGATCATTATGTTTTGTGTAGACGACTGTCATATCGTCGTTAATGCTTTCATTGTTTCCGTTTTACTTTCCTGATGATGTTATCCCTAGCAAGCGGAAATGACCCCGAACATACTAGTGCGGTATGTTTGTGTCTTTAGGGTCATATCACCAGCGTACGCCGGTCCGTCGACAACGAGTTTTGGTGTATCAGTGGAGGATGCTACAACATCTCTGAGCGATTTTATGATACTATGGAATTCGAAAAAAGCCGTATGAAACCATATTAAAGAAGCCATAGACGAGCCGCAGGTAGTGTGATGCAGCGTGGACTAGTTCCCTACAGATTATAGACACGTATCGACTGCTAATCCATTGGGTCTCCCCGTATGGGTTCGCATCCCATTCCGACCGCCAAACCTCGCCTAGTTGATTAGTTCGCCAGCTCGGATAAAGGGGGAGGGTTGGGCACAGGGCTAGCAACCCCACCCCAGAAAACAAATCCAATCACCAAAGGAACTTGAAGGCACAGAAAAATATTTAAAAAAACTTATTCCTCGCTGGAATCAAGTGGACGAAATGGCGCTGGTTGGTGAAAACCTTCTGGGAGCCAATTGGCTAATGTGTCCTCTCTCGATGACAGCAAAAGTAAGAACAGGGACATGGAATGTCCGCATCGTGTATGAACTTAACAAGGCTGCGCAGATTGCCAAGGAGATGGCGCAGAGGCGCTTAGTATCTGCGAAAGCAGATGGAATGGAAGTAGACTTTCTCAATTGTCAACTGGAGAGTCAATAATCTACTTCCACATTATCATCCGGACGACAACCACGGACACGCTGAGTTTTGGAGTGGCTATCATGATGTCCCCCAAGAACATAGAAGGCTGTCATGTAGTGGGAACCAATCTCTTCCAGCATCATAACAGCAAGATTCAACTGAAAAACAAGGAGAGTTACAACCACGCAGTGCTACGCTGTGCACATGCAAGTAATTCGGATCAAGAGAAAGAGGCGGGAGTTCTACAGACAACTGCAATCAGTACTGGACAAGACTCCAGTTGGCGACATCAAAACTCTAATGAGCGACATGAATGCGAAACTTGGGGCAAACAACGCAGGAAAAAAACTCATCATGGGTCGAGAAGCACTTAGTGAAAGGAACGGGAATGGAGAACTGTTTGCAGATTTCTGCGCATTCAACGATTCGGTGATTGAAAGCAATGTGAACAAACACAAGGACGTTCACAAAACAACATGGGATTCATCAGATGGACACACTAAAAGTCAGATCTACTTCATCCCAGTGTGAAGTGGAGACGCAGCCTACTGGACATAAGATCAAGACAGAGAACAGATGTAGGTTCACACCACTCACCACCTAGCGCAAGGGACCTTCCAAATCAAGTTGAAGGCCTCCACAGAAGTTGGTGATAGACCACAGTTGAAGTTCAACACCCAGAACAGGTGAAAGACGAAACCACAAAGGCCTTCTTCACGTGAGTCATCGGAACAAAGCGGGAGACATCAGGCAATATCCCTGAAGAAACCTGAATGGAAGAACACTGGAACTCTTTGAAAGAGGTGTGGAAGGAAACCAACATAACCGTGTTTGGAAAGAAGAAAGAAGACAAGACAAGGAATGGATCTGGATGGACACATGGAGGCTGATGGAGTAGGGGGAGGAAGATTGTTAAGCGGAAGGTGAACCGGTGCAACGATGCAGAAAGAGAAGAAGAATTGACTACAAAGTACAAAACATTGGACAAAGGAGTGAAGAGTCCGTGGAAAGACAGAAGGCACCTTTACGACACATCGGCAATTGAAGCAGAACAGGCTACTAGCAGAAGAGACCCGGAAACATCGCATCAGGTGACCAGACTGCTATCTGGGGAGAGATCAATACAGATGAAACGACCGAAAGATAGTGATGGGAACCTAATAAACAAACTGGAGAAATAAAAGTAATCGAACAGACTGCCTGGCTTCAGGAAAACAGATCATACACCGGCCAAATTGTAACACTACGCCACACATCATCGTAGAACACAGCATAGAATGACAATCAACTCTCTACCTCAAATCCTTCAATTTTGAAAAGGCCTTGGATAGAGACAAAGGACAAGTAATTTGGCACCTGCTTAAACACTATGGTTTCAGTGACACAAACTTCCATCAACTTCATTCAACAGCTACATCAAGACGCCACATGCTGAGTGATTCACAATGGAATACTCAGTAACGCCTTTGAAGTGAAGTCGGGAGTAAGACAAGGCTGCTTACAACCAGCGGTCATCTTCGTGATTGTCGTCCACGGTGTCTGTCATCCAACAAAGTGTGAGGAGCGAGAAGATGGGAATACGCTGGTTGACCGGTGAAAAGAACTCAGGAGAAGATTTGGATGGATTTCACCGCCGATGATGATTCATGTCTAATGTGTTGTCGCACAAACTCGAAGACCTACAGGCGAAAACTAACAAGTTGACAGAAGAGGCGGCGAAGGAAGACGGGACTTCAGGTGAACGTAGAGAGAACAGAGGTGATGGAGATACCCAACCAACAACAACATCGACAACAAGCATCAATCACCATCAACGGGAGAAACCTAAGGGAAGTTGTCTCTTTCACCTACCTGTCTGGGCAGTCTCGTTTAGACTACAGGTGGTGGCACACATGAGGACATCAAATCCATGATCGGAAAGACAGCAAGACACACCTTCCTTCATTGACCTGAAACCAGTGTGGATATCTTTTGCACTCAGCGTGTGGAACAAGTTTCGGATTTTCAACACTAATTGAGTCAAGTCAGTGCTTCTTCGTGGTTCAGAAACTTGGTGCGTGACGAAAAGCATTTCCAACAAACTACAGATATTCATCAACAGCTGCCGCCCACGCTCTCTCGATGCTGAAGATCAGATGGATGGGCAGAAAGAATAAGCAAGCAACAAAGAACTCTGGCTGGGTGGCAACGAACCAACCAAGAACCCATCGCCCAACAAATATGCAGGAGACGAAAGTGGAGATGGATTGGGCATACATTGAGAAGGCCACTAGGGAACACGATGAGCCAGACTAGTCAGTCCCTCGAGTGGAATTCAAACGGGAAACGACGAGTTGGGCGTCTTAGCGAAGGTGACACGGAGGAGATGGTGTGAGTAAGAAATGAAGGGTTGTGGGCAGTTGTGGAGCCAGGTTGAAAAGATTGGAGAGAAGAGAGTGAAGTGGAGACGTGCTACTGAAGCGGTATGTCCCACTAGGAACCCAAAGAGCGAATAGTAATAATAGTGTACCGGGAGAAGATACAGCTGCATATTTGGTCGTTATATCATTTCGTTCTCGCAGAAACGAATTGCTTCAACCTTGGATGTGTCAAAATGTTAATTCGGTAGAAAGTTTCAGAGTTTGAGCTTGGCGCTCTGCCGCTTCTGTGGTGGCCAGAGGATAGTTACTCAAAGGAATTTATTGAACATCACATGACGTCACACCCATTCTGCGTAGTATCTTCAACATTTATTGAGCATTTTGCAATGGCGAATACTGCAGAGATATACGCCAACGGCTATCATACCTATATGGTGGAATTTGTTAGGTATACTTTTCATGTTGATGATTGCCTAGTGTCCGTGTCGGCTTTTTTTGACCCGCCAGGTCTGGTTGCCTCGGCTTGCCTCCCAGCCAGCAGCTACTGCAGTGCGTTTGCAAATCTGATATTGCCTGGGATACACCTCTGAGTTCCGACGACCTATCCGCGTGGCAGCAGTAATGGGTGTCCGAATGTCTTAAATTCTGAGGAAGGACCCGCTGAATAACTTTGACAAGATCTGCTTTTGGACAGATCTATGATTCTTCCTTACCACATCAGAAATACAGGGAGTCGGCATAGTACGTTCGTGACCAACCGTCTAGCCGTTATTCACCAGTGTTCATCTCTAAATCTATGGGGGTACATTGAATTTGAAGAGAATCCTGAAGATTGGACCTCAAGAGGCATACGAAGAGCGTGTGATTTTGAGTCTTGGATTCAGTCACCCATTTCTGAGAACCCGAGAGTTTTCAAGTACCATAGACCTCTGCTGGAAAGAATTACCGAAAAACGTCGAATTCAAGAGGTTGGTTTAAACAGACACAAACGTCACTGGGCTCATTGTTGATCGGGTTTTAGCAAATCATTAGGACTGAGTAACGTTGATTAAAGTTGTCGCTTGGCCCAAAATATATGTGACCTACATATCTGCTGTGCATCCGGATCGCCATGGCGTGCCATTGAGCGTCGGACATCCAGCAGTCGATGAACTGGAAACCGCTAAATACAAAGTATTATGTATGCTACGACAGGTGTATGGAGGGTTGGTGAAAGAACTCCGGGAAAAGGTTGGTTGCGAGACTGTTGAAGGTGAGTTAGAGAGAATGTCACATGTACTTGTGGATGGATTGATCCGCGTCGGGGGCAGACGGTCTAATAAGAACAGCGGTGGCGCCCATGAGTATAGGTACCGTGAGGGGCGATAGACGAAAGCTTTGTCTTCTCGACAGAGTGGACGGAAGATGGATTATGGGGCAGCTATGTGGGGAGAGCCACGACTGAATGCATTGAGAGGAGTTTTCGCTTGTCTGGACGGATTTTGATGGCCGGCGTAGCAGAAAAATGATCTGAAAATTCCTTCCTGATCATCCCGTTTCACAGCGCTGACATTTATTTAGGTGTTTTTACCCTCTATACGGACAAGGGGCCTTTGACGCTAGCCGATGTGATGTTATTTGGTTGTCTGACTGTCTCCTTTGACTTTGCGCTCACTATTTGTCTTCCTTTGCTTGAGACATCGTGAGTGCTTCACTTTCCCATTATGTGACGC